TTGGGCAATATTCTGGGATTCTGGTTGACCTCCTGAATGGCAAACAGGAAGGCCAAGCTTTTCCAGTATCTCAAAAAGAGGAAGCTGTGAAACAGAAAGTAACCTAAAAATAGTTTGTTCATTCTGTCATCCTACTGAGATTTCTAATACGTTTAAAGTATAAAAGACATCAGCTTGTCAAAAAGTGAATTGAAATAACACCAAGGCAACAATGAAAAATTTAGTCCGTCAAAAGCAAGAACCTGGGAATGGAGACAGCTGGACTGCTGGTTGCCTGAACAAGTTTTCCCTGTGAAAGTTGGACCATAAGGAAGGCTGAGCACCAAAGAATTGAGGCCTTTGAATAGTGGTGCTGGGGAAGATTCCTGCGAGTCCCTTGGACTGCAAGATGATCAAACAAGTCAGTCCTAGAAGAGATCAACCCTTACTGCTCTTTAGAAGTCCAGATACTGAAGATGAAACTCAAATACTTTGGCCACCTAATGAGAAGAAAGGACTCCCTGGAGAAGAGCCTATTGCTGGGAACAATTGATGGCAAAAAAAGAAAAGGACAGAAGAGAATGAGGTGGCTAGATGAAGTCACTGAAGCAGTTGGGGTGAGCTTAAGTGGACTCTGGGGGATGGTGGAGGACAGGAAGGCCTGGAGAAATGTTGTCCATGGGGTGGCGATGGGTTGGACATGACTTCGCAACTAGCAACAACAGGAGAAGTTGAAAGATTTTCTTTGCAGTCTCTTCACTGCAGACAATGTAGGGTAGATTCTAACAAGAGATTGGGTGCAGATGGACCCTATCCTCAATTTCTCAAAGAATTGTAATATAAAACAGGTGATGCAACACCAGTGGAACTCCAATACCTAAAGCAACACCAGTGGAACTCCAATACCTAAATGCAAGAGCATCTAGAACTTACAGACCAGTTCTTTAACCTGTTCTCCAGGTAGGGTGTTGGTAGTCCTGAAAAAAGTTACAGTTGGGAGGCTGTTAGAAGGACATGTTCTCCTGTAAATGAATAAGAAAGTGACCTCCTGTCTCACTACCTTCGAGAGTTCTTTACCTGTAGACTGGGTGGGGAATCACAGAAATTCTTTGAATTTCCAGAACTGTTGACTAAGCCCTCCACCCAAGCTTCTCAGCAAATAAGGCAATCCTGGAGTGAAAGGAGAGCTCCTTTTTTGGAGTGATAATGGGCTAACCAATCAAAAAGTTAATGTTCGAATCAATGATCAACTATCACAATGGAGGGATATGAGTTTTTCAGAATTACTTAGAATTTGAAATGAGTAATGTGCAGATTTTCAGATGACATTTGCAGATGTCAATTTGCAGATGACATTAAATTAGGTTGTTTAAATCCAGGGAGGGTCTCTGAGCCAAGAAGAAGAAAAAGAAATACCAGTTCCACGCATG